TTTTAGCTAAAAAACGTAAAAATATTTACGCATCTTTTATGTCATTTAGATATTCATATCAATGCATTTATAATTTCATAAGTAAACGAGTAAACAATTTAATAATGCAATTGAAAACAAGTTAATTCATATGATAACTAAAAACTAATAAAATTAATGCCGCGATTTCAATATTCATAAGGATTCATTTTTAGGTGTCGTCAATACGTCAGTTTTGTACGTTAAAATGTTGAAAATACGTAAGTATTTGTACGTTTAGAGGCTGAAAATACGTAAGTATTTGTACGTTTTAGTGCCTGTAAAAACGTCAGTAAATGTACGTTTTATAGAACCACATTTTACGTAAAATACATACGAATTATCATGAGATCACATTGGAATCTCTGCATGGTCAGGGTGAGGTATGCTCGGAGGCTTGAAAAAGCCATTAGTAGAGTAACGGCCACAATCTGGAATGCTCTGAGAAGATATCAAATCACAGGCCGTCTGTGTATGTCAATGTACTCAGTGCGGTTACAATAGGTTGAAGTCCATTAATCAACTGGGGTAACTAATGAATGCCATTTTAACTACACATGCAAACTAATACACATGTGATTTACACACACACACATACCACATTCTCATTGGTCTAAGAGTCACGGACATGCTTCAGTGTCCTGGTCTGTTTAAAATAGACCTGCATAATATATGAAACTCAGTAGGAACAGGTGTGAGACAGAAGGTGTGTGTGTGTGTGTGTGTGTGTGTGACAGTGACAGGCAATGCACTAAGAAAACAAACATACTTGCCCCCGTGAACGACCATTTAAAGTTTGTACGCTACAAAATCAAATATTGTGTCATGCTAAAAAAGCCCCCTCTGCTGACAGGAGTTCTCTCTGTTTCTTTCCAGCTTGCTCTCTCTCATCAGGGTCAGAAGGACAAGCTGGCAAATACTAACTTTTGGTCTATTTCCAGCTCTGGAGCGAGTTCCCACATAAGGCTCCTGGGACAGAGAGAGAGAGCATTACTAGGAAAACCAGAGGGGAGGTCTGTGACGTCCCTTAAAGACGCATGTTTAAAGACTTCCCAGCAGTGAGCAAAAACACAGTGACTGCTCTCCCGCCAGGCCTCAAGTACTGCTTGCTTTACAGAATTCAACTACGGGAGCCCTGTCAGAGCTTCTGACTTTCAATCCCACTGTCTGTCACCCGCACATCATGCATTTATCAGTTATTTCAGAGGGCTAAGCGTGTTATCCCAGCTGAAAAAAGTTTAAACCAGTCTAAACTAGTTTTAAATGGTCTCTTAGCTTGGCCAAGCTGGTGTTTGGCTAGTTTAACTGGATGACAAACTGGACTCCCGGCCTGACTAGCTGAAAATTTCCCCAAAACCACTCAAAAGACAGTCTGGGAGGCCAACTAAAACCAGCAAGAGTTTAAGGGTTTAATAGGGATAACATAATCGCACAGCTCTCAATGCTTACAAAGGAAAAGAAAGAAAAAACCTTAACCAGCCTAAGCTTGTTTGTTGGTCTTAGCTGGTTTAAGATGGTTTAGCTGAACAGCCAACTGGTCTTACCGACTGACCAGCTGAATAGTGTCCTGTTTCATTCTGTAAAACCCCTCTAAAACCAGCCTGGGTGACTAACTACTGCTGCCTTCTGTTGGCTGGTTTAAGATACTTTTTAAGACAACTAAGACCAGCAAGCCATCTTAGGCTGGTTTAAAGGTTTAGTAGGGATAGCATAATTACATAAAAAAAAAAAAAAAAAAATCCAGTCTCTCAGCCTGGCCAACCTGGCATTTAGCTAGTTTAGATGAGAGATTAAAAAAAATAATAATAATAAACGCACAAACCTTTCTATAACCAGCCAAAAGACTAGCTACAGCAGCAGGGGTGGCAAAATAATAGTCCCAGTCTGGAAGGCCAACTAAGACTTTATTTTATTGTTAATTTTTTTATACAGCTCTATTAAGGCATTCCCAGCATTCTTAGCACAATTTTTCAGTTTTAATTATATGAAACGTTACAGAGCATTGCAGAAAAAAAACACTCAAAGTACGCAAGATGTTTATTTCAGAGATTGTTGGGGAGTGTCACATAGACATATAGCTGTTAGAAGTTAATGACATAGAAAAAGGGATTTTGTTTGTGTGTTATAGTGTTTTTGCCTCAACAGTGTGTTGCAACACTTGGCAGAGTTTGAGCTCCTGCCAGAAGAATCTAGGAGCAAATAAGACTAGTGCTTATTTGCATTCCTCGATCCTACTACCAGAGCCCATGACTGACCCCGTTCTTTAATCCAGCCAAGTTAAAGAATCTCTTACTTACACACACTTGCAGAGGCAGGTATATAGTAGCCAGCCAAGCATGAGGAATCAAAGCTAAACCTGGAAAAATAGCCTTGGGATCTGATGACTGGGATGAGAAACAGGTGGTGCGTAAAGGCCTGAGAATGGAGAGCTTTATATCCGGTAAAGATACTACAAAGAGATACAGCCTGCATCTGTCCTGCTTTTACTCTTGACCTAATATGTAACAGACTGCTGCTACGAAGTCAGCAGGTTCTTTTTTCTGTGTCTTATTCTTGATCTTTCCAGGCTGGTTGTAGCTTGTTTAAAATGGTCTCTCAACCTGGCTAAGATGGTCTTAGCTGGTTTAAGATGGTCTTCCAACATGTTCAAGCTGGTCTTAGGCTGATAACCCAGACTTAGCATCTGAAAAGTACCCAAAACCATGCAAAAAGCAGTCTGAGAAGGCAACTAAGACCAGCAAACCAGCATATGCTGGTTTAAGATGTTTTAAGTTTGTCTTCAAGCCTGACCAATCAGGTGTTTAGCTAATGTTGCCAAGCAGCCAACTGATCTTACAAACCGAGCAGCTGAAAAGTGGCTAAAACCCCTCTAAAATCAGTCTGGGAGACCAACTAAGATCCGCAAACCACAAAACCAGTGTAGGCTGATTTAAGATGTTTTTTAAGACAACTAAGACCAGCAAACCAGCATACTCAAGGCTTAAAAAGAAGGGGTAAAAAATATTTAAACCAGCCTAAGCTGGTTTTGGTGGTCTTAGCTTTGTTAAGATGGTCTCCCAGTCTGGCCATGCTGTTGTTTGACAGTTTAGCCGAGTAGCCAACTAGTCTTACAGACTGGGTGACCAAGTAAGACCAGCAAACCAGCTTAAAAATGGTTTAAGCAGTTTTTTTTTAAATGTCTAAATGTTTCAGAAGGGCCAGATAACTTGTCCAACTGTCCATTCAAATGCACTCCCTGACTTTTACACTGTTTTGTCTAATAGTTTATTGTGTTGCATTGTGTGTGACAGGATCTGTAGTCAGGCTCTGCACTATTAATATTGCAGGCACCGGGTTTTGCCAACTAGCCAAACACTTTCTGACAGCCTCACACAGGCCAACCATTGTCAAGACTCCTGTAGCCAGAATGCTATTGCCAGCCGCTGTTTTTATGGATCAGACCAAAGAAAAACACAGGACAAGGCTAACAGTACAATCATCCCTCTCTCCCTGATGCTCTTCTTTCATGTCATCTTTTCCACCTCTTCTGTCATGCACCAAACTTTCCAAAAATTACCATTCCCTCAAAGTTTTCACAGAGAAGTAGGTCTACATTGTAAATGGCATGGACGTGCAGCTCTTTGAAGATGGCTAAAATTGCTGTGTTTGTTAACATTCCCTTCAATTCTCAGACTGTAGTGGTTATCTCCCATGTGCAGCTATCCAACAAGCTGCTGGCTAAAAAGAAAAGAAAATCTCTCATTGGACATTAACTTAATGTGCAGATCTGCAGTGACTACACACACTCACATGAATACAAACATGGTCATCCATGACGACCTCACTACTAATCCCAGGGTCTTTATATTATATTATATATTTTATACCGTGGAACACAAAAGAAGATATTTTGAAGAATGTTTTAACTATTTCTGTCTATACAATGAAAGTCAATGTTGTCAGAAGCAACATGAATACTTTAATTGTATAGCTAAAAACAGCTGAGACATTTTTCAAAATATCTTCTTGTGTTCCACAGAAGAAAGTAAGTCATGCAGGTTTGGAACGACATGAGGGTGAGCAAATGATGACAAAATATTTATTATTGAGTGAACAATCCTTTTAGTTCAAGAGCACCATGTAGTTTTCCCATGTAATGCTATTCACTGAGAAAACCAACCCACATATGTCAAAAAAATACCATATTTCACTAAAATGGTTCCATATTTAGTTTAATTTCGTTGGTAATGCATTAATAGTCACTAATATTTGGATGACTAACAGTGCAAAACAAGCAAGAAGTTTGTGCGTCCGACAAACACCTGCAGTGTCCACTCTTGCCCTTGACACAATCACAGATCTCCAAATATGCCAAAACCACAGGATTTTCTAATGGAGAACTTCAAAACTTCTCACTTTCCAAATTTTCCCTTCACTTGCAAAGCCCCATTCAGAGTTCATGGAAAGTTCCTCCACGCCGACAGCGCTGCCTGCCACATATGCTCCCATGTGCTGGCAGAAAGTGTGCGCAAAGATACTAAACTCCACAGATCAACAGACAGAGCTTTAAGCTTCTCAAAGTCAAACTGCCAAAGAGCTCATACACTCCAGCCAACCCAAACTGCAACACACCCTGCAAAACAAATCGTTTGAAACCAAACCCAAACAAACTTGAGGCACTTGAGGGACGCATACAAACAGAAGCAGACTGAGCTTGCTGTCCTGTGACCTGCTATGACCGGCTATCACCTTGCAGATAAGGTTTTACAGTAGAGGGATTGTCATGTGTCAGCACACACCCTCCCCCTCCATCCCTACCGTCCCAGCAGCCCCTTACAATAACAAACCCCCGTGCAGACACGCCACTCGCCTGGAGTGTCTAACAGGAGAGCAGCGTTATAAAACCCTTTCATTTGCACACTAACCAAACACTCCCACAGTCATTATCAATCATTAACAGCAACCCGTTAAAGGCACTGAAGCAAGTAGTGCTGAGTACTTACTCTCTTTCAGACACAGGTTTCCAACTTGTCCCTTACAGAAAAATATAAAATAAAATCCCAATGGAAATCAGACTCCTTAAGGATTGCCAGTAGATCCAGCTTTGAAGACTGCCAGTATCATCTGTTTATAGGTCTGGATGTGGGATTGGTAGTACAGAGCTCACACTCATGCCCTGTCTGCTGCTGTGACTGAATGTGTATCTGACACGTTGGTGTAGTAAAGCCTCCCTCTGGCTTAATCACTGCTCCTCCCCTCATGCTCACATAGTAAGAGAAACAAAGCGAGCGAGAGAGAGAAAGGGAAAGAGAGAGAGATAGACAGCCTTGATAGTCATTACAAAGACTGGGAGGAAATCACAAGATTTCTTGCTAACCTTTAGTTTCAGTTCTGGTGGTTACTTAAACTTGAATTTCAGCTTTCAACACTCTTGCCAAGCTTAAATGATTAACACAACTGAACTAGTCAAAAGCATTCATAACAAATGAAGAAAATTAAAATCAAGGAAATATAAACAGTTGGCAGGGAGTTATAAATGTAAAATGTATTTCAAACTGTGTTCATTAGATGTAGAGTAAGAGTTTAGTTTATGATACAATAGACTTACGAAAAACAATGTAACTAAATATTCAGTGTTTGGGGGACTAAATGTAAAAGTTCAAGAACTTTGGAAACATAATGATCAACCACTATCCTAAATATTTTAAGGGGCATATGTCCTCCTCAGTGTGTACAATTAAATTAAATTAAATTAATAAATGTAATTATATGAATAATTAATAAATAATTAAATTAATGGTGACTTAGAGAAAAATAAATACATAAATATAATTGTATTATTATTATTATTATTAATGGTGGAAGGACTAAATGTAAAAGTAATAACATGATCAACCACTATCCAAAATATTTTAAGGACCGCCTCAGTGATGATGATTGATTAAAATGATTATTATTATTATTTAAATGATTATAATTATTATTAAAAATATTATTTAAAAATGTAATTATATTAATTGATAATTAAATGAATAATGAATAAGAAAAAAAGCTATATTTCTTTATATTATTATTATTATTATTATTTAATAGTACATAGAAATAATTTGTAATTTTTTGCTCTTCTTATTGTATCATGGTTACGTAAAGCCCTATGAATTACCCCTGTGCATGAAATTGCTATACAAATAAACCTTATCTATGATGGTTACAGTCCTACAAGATTCTAATTAACAGCTATAAAACATAATATGTGAGATAAGACAAGCATAGTGTAGTCCAAAAAGGTCATCATTTGAAACTTAATACTCCTAAAGTTCAACAGACACCGCTTGCCCTCGGCTCACGTTACAACACCTTCAGTGGTAGTGTTATTTCTGGTTGATTGGCAGTACCCTTCTAGCATGTGAGTGACAATATTCACAGAAATTATGCATTATAAAGCCTTCTCCCAAAACACAGTATTTCCAATCACAGTCCAAACCTGAGCCACTTCTTTTTATGTGAGTTGTTGAAGAAGTTTCACATCGCTGTAAAAACCAGTCCTTAAAATGTCATGTAAATGCTTAAAACGGATGGTGCTGGAACAACTGAAACATCTCAGTGACAAATCATCTAACCATGCCCTAGTTAACCAGGGAAGAGAACTATGGAGCGCAATAGAGGAACAGTCACAGTTGGGAATCCCTGTGACTGAAATAGTGCTGCTAATTATGTATTGAGGGGAAATTTTAAGCAGGCAGATGGAATGGTAGGTTTGGGGTGTCAGGCATCGGGATGCCGTCATTAGGAGACGGGGATGAGCCAAATGCAGACACAAGCATGTCATGGGAGCCGGGAAGCAGGGCTGAGCAACTTATCAGCCTCTTACTTACAGACTCCAGATTCAGACTGGGACTCCACTGTCCCATTATACTAGTCAGGCCTGGTCTACCATTACGCATGTCATTTTCAAAACTACTGAATGTAGTTACCCATAAGATCGAAAAGGAATACGTAAATCCAAAAATGTATTTAAAAAAGAAAGAAAGAAAAAGTGACAAGAAAGCACAAACTACAGTATCAGTCTAACCAGAGATGCCTCAGGCTCTTAAAAATAAAAGGTTCTTTATTAGCATATATGATTCCATGAAGAACCTTCAACATTCATAGAATGTTCCAACAAGTCCAAAAAGAAAATATGGATCTTTTAAGAACTATTCATGTTTTTTTGGGGGGGGGGGGCGCAAAAAAATTCTATTGCATTACTGGAAAATCCACCTTTTGGAACCTTTTTATGCCAGTATAATATCAATTTTCATAATGTCATTTCAGAAAATAAGGAAGTAAAAATAAGAATATCTTAAATTCACTTGTTCTCAGTCAAGATGCATTCTGTTAAAATAGCCACTATCATTTCCAACCTCTTCCTTCCAATTATCCAGTTGTTGTTTTTATTTAGCTGTCAGTAATTTGGGTTCAGTTTCCTCTTTTTCTTATTTGCAAACTTTCGTTCAATCACTCTTGTGTAATTAAACACAGACAGATCATCCTGTATGACATATTAAACAATTCGTGCATCTACTTTGTTTAGACTTGCATGTAAAGATTCAGAAACAAACATTATGTCATTTGCATCAAGAGCATCTCAGATCTGAATGCAAACTTCATCAGCTCTATATGCAGATCCACAAAGTTTCTTTTTTTCCCCTCCGAACCTCTTGGTTGACTGATGTGGCGTGAAAATCTTACAGACAGCTTTGAGGTCCCCTCTTTCTCATTTGTCATCTGAAGTAAAACTGCCATGGCTTCATGTCTACCCAGAAAGGGGAAGCATTGGCTCAAAAGTTTTCAGCTCAGTTAATCTCTCTATAGGGGGTGTGTAATCCCCTAAATTGGAACGCAGATTAGAGTTGTTTAGATTATTCATCTTTAAAAAGAGAGTTCACCCACAAATTAAAATTTACTCATCCTCATGTTGTTGCAAACCTATATGATGTTCTTTCTTAAACAATGTTCATAAACAATGTTTATGTTCTAACATTAACATGTTTCATTTGAAGTATACATTCTTAATACATCTTAATAATACATATATGAGCAAGTAATGAAAAGAGCAAAGTCCAAAACACACTGAAATACCTTAAGCATCAATATTCTTATCATTGAAAAATAGTTATTCTGACCTCTATAGATTTGAATGGGTATTGCAATCATCCTCAGAAGTGCTCTAACTTGTGAAATCACAAATGACACTCTTGTTGCAAAGAATACTGGTTTCTCAAGCGCATTCTCCAGCTGAGACAAGCAGGGATTCGTGCATAGGTTGTAAACTGAGTTTGTTTTGATTTGATGCACCGTTCTCTTCTCTAAATCTGAATCAACATTTGTGTCTCTGTGCAGAGACTTCCAGATAGCCAACACCACAGGAGGTGACAGCAAAGCTCCTTCTGAACAGGATTATGAGAATGAGACAAATAAAGACGCTTGGCTTATGTTGTATAAAGCACAACATTGATTACAACTTCAACCTGTAATGTGCTGAATGGGCATGTTTACAAACTTTTGTTGTTATTTACAATATTCTGATTAATAAGTGAAAGATCAGGGCCTTAAGTGTATAGTCAAATCAATATTGATTTAGATATAATAAACCATCCAGAGCCATTTTATAGACTAATTAACGATAACGTCTGCAACTGTTCGTTTCCTCTGCAGACCAGTTTGTTCACTAAACACTAATTACAGGTTATGCAGATTACAGAGCCGTAACACTGATTACAGGTCAATCAGAAAGTGAAAGTGGTGCATCACATTGCTTCAAAACTCTCCTGTTTACGCTGTGACAAGCAGTATGTAAATCACGAAAATTAATTTCATATATAGAGACATTTAACTTTTTTTACAAGCATATTTGAGGGAGAATGTCTCCCTGGGGTCCAGATTAAATTTTGACTGGTGAAAGAAAAAATACTTCTCACATTTACTTTCATCTGGATGACTAATGTCCCAACCTCATAAAACCTTACAAGCTCTGCCATCAGCGTGTGTCGACGCCAGTACTCATCAAGAGCCCCCAGGCCTTTAGCTTCTGTCTCTTATCTGCTTGTGAACCTTGTGATCAGTGGAAAGTTACTGCGAACACTGCGTTTCACCGCTTTAATCAGCTGGAAAAATTAAATGGTTGTATTTCTGTAAGAATTACATACAATATGAGTCTGGTGCTGCAACAAACCATAACCAATTATTTAAACAACAGCAACATATTATAAAATGATTACTTATATATTTTAGAATAAAATATTTATTTATTTATTTATTTGTGAATAAATGAATGATAATATTCAGTGCTGGAGCAAACAAATTATTATTTAAACATAATAAATACAACTGATTTCAATATTGTATATATATATATATATAAGTATATACAAATTCTAAACTTAATAATATTAAAATAATAATAATAATAGTTATAAAATAAATACATGAAACTTAATTTTCTTTGTATTATCATTACTATTGTTGTTTAATTTTACATTATTAAAATAACTTATTGTTTAATTGATTGATACATAATAATTTCTTTGTTTTAGCACCAAACTGGATATTTTATGTAATCCTAAGAGAAATGCAACAATATTAGATCTTAAAAAATGTTAAGGTATTGTTGCAAAAACACTTGTTGCAAAACACTGTCTGAAAAGTGTGCCCAGTGCATCTTTTCTAAATAGGAAATATTGAGTTGAGAAATGTCTGCTGTTCACAGAGAAATGGAGAAAGAGAGTCAGCTGAGATCAAGCGTAAAGCAGACAAACTTCTCCTCAGGTGGCTCTAAATGTCCATATCAAAGGAACCATGGTTTGCTTTCATGTGCCTGCCAGGACAATTCTCCTGGCAGGGTGTAATAGATCGTTTGTCGTCCCCCCTCCCCAACTTCCCTCTCCTGTCAGTAAAAATAATTAACAGACAATAGTGGCGTCTGTTAAATGCGTCCCTATTCATGATCAGTGATGACATACGACCTGATTTTGTGTATGGCAATACCTGCATTCAGCAATACATGCTTGAATTTCAGAACAAACTGACCTTGAGGTATGAGACAACAACTTCAAGCAATTTGTGTTTAAAATATTACTCAAGAATTGGTTGGACTTGACCTAAGTGTCCCTGTACTGTGTGGCACGTCCCTGTGGTGAGGAC